TACTATCTTTCGTAGCGGATATATACAGTTCATCCGGCCGGAGGGGCTGAACATGTCCTTCCCTTCCCAACTGTTTCGTCAATCTCCAAGAAATGTTGACCGCCGATGATCCCGAGTCTAGGATGGCGGCCGAGGGGTTTCCCCAGACCTCACAGTCACACTCTACGCTTTTCCATGTTATAGGATAGGCCCGGAGAAATACCTCGGGTTTTTCCGAGGCGGAATCTACGGTCTAGATCGTCCCTATCCGGTTGGCTTCATGCACCTTTGAGGTCGAGGGTTGTGACTCCTCGTTAGTGGGTGGGTCCCGTAGGACCGGCTTTTTGCCCTTCCGACTTTCCTCAAATCGGCGCCTGTTTTTGAGGCACCGTTCGATCAACTTTTCGTTAGCCGCTTCGGAAATGGTTAGCAGATATGGAATAGGGACGGGGATCCGAAGATCCAGAGCCTTCAAGGCATCCAATACGTCGATATGGCCATCCTTGTATTCAGGACCAGGTACCGCAAGATCCTCGAATCCTGGTCGCCACGGCCCGAGATCGCTTTCCTCGGTAATCCGTTGGACGTGACGTATCACTCCGATGGTCCCGGGTTCGAACATCGCTGCCACCATACACTCATCGGGTCCTATCTCAGTGGCCGCCAGGGTCACCATCTCCGTCGTTCCTGTGTCCATTACCGTGGCTACCCTCCCCTGTCCTGCAGCGGTAAGAGCAGCCAGCTGGATTTGGGAAGGTCCGGTGGGCCCGCCCTAAGTTCGGGGTTTCGGACAATCTTTCGCAAGGTGGCCTGGCTGATTACAGTTATAACAGCGTAGGGGTGGGACAGCCCCGGCCACGGCCGGTCTTGTCATAGGGGCTCCGACAGCCATAGCCGCCTGTTGCCGTTGTGCGGCGGCTACGTGTTGCCGTTGCAGACCTTGAACAAACTCCGTCAACGGGGCTACTACCGTAACTAGTTGGGCCGCGACTTCTTTCATGGATACTTCTTCCTCGCCCCGGCCTCCTTGCGTTTGACTAGAGCGACGGGAGGCGGAAGCAGAGGAAGAAGCTTTCCGATCCGAGCCTTTTTTTGTCGAACGCAACCCGAAGCGATCTTCGAACATTCCTGCCGTAGCAGAGTAGCTATTGCGTCGAACACCCGAAGGGTCATCTTCGTCGGATTCTGAGTCCAGGCCCACATCGTAATTTTATTTCCCGTACTTAATTGCGTACTGAATTAGCTCCGTCAGGGTATGTTCTATAGGGTTGCATTTCTTGCGGATCTTTTTCTGCAGACGAGAATCTGACAGTCCTCTGACGAAATGAGTCCGTACCATTTTCTCATCCACCCCGGAGCGTTCAGCTAGGTACGTAAAACGTCAGCATATCTAGCCAAGGTCTCTCGAGGCTGCTGTGTGTATTCCTTTATTAAACGGAGGCATTGACCTGGTGTGATGTGATCAAATCTATCGAGAAATTTCCTCTGGAAGGCTGCCCAATTTGTGAAGGGGTTTTGTCCGCACCACTCAAAAGCGGTTCCGGCTAACCTTCCGGGAATTCGCTCTCGGAGCAACTGATCCGACCAGCCCTGGGCTTTCAAGGCAGCTAGCCAGGTGCGAGGATCGGTGTCATCTTCAGAAAAAATAGGAACTTCGGAGGGAGGAGGTACAAAGTACAGGGGATGATTGGCCATCCCCGCGTGGTTGTCGCCGTCGTTTTCACCCCCGATTTCGGGTTCCACCATCGGGGGAGGCGGGTTTCGAGCCCGGCCTCTCGCTCGGTTCTGATTGCTATTCACGGGCCTCCGTCGAAGGGGAGCCAGCCTACTCAAATATGCAAAAAATCTAATGAAAAGATCAAAAAAAAAAAGGAGAAACTTTAAAACAGGGTAATCGTCCTAGGAAAACCTCGGAGCCGAAACGAATCAGCTCTTATACCAACCTCACACCCCCTCGCAGCTTCCCGTACGGGGTCGCCGATCAGAGTTCTAGGAGGGGCGTGGTCGAGGATTTTTGGTCGTAAGGGTTGAGTCTCCCGGACGGAACGGGAGAACCTCGTTTCGTGCCAGAGGTTTTCCCCGCAGTCGAGCTGTCGTCGCGGAGTCCCGTGGGGGTCGGATCACTCCGAAACGATAACCTCAAGAAAGGTTTCCGCAAAAATGAATTACCGTCATGCATCGGGACGGAAAAAGGCATCAAGGGGAGAGGGCCATGGTGGCGGAGGACAAAACTTCGGTCGTCAGGGGTTTGGGGGATAGGTGGCGGGTTCGAAGCCTTCAGGCCTCATCATCGGCCTCACAAAGTGGCCGAACCCTCGGGTCTTTGCTGCGGAGGTGGTTGGTTCGAGGCCTTCAGGCCTCGACGTCGGACTCACAGAGTCCGCGGGAAAGTTTCCGGGAGGGTAAAGCGGCGGGAGGACTCGCCGGCATCTGAATTCGGAATTGTGCGGGCAGCGCCCACGCACTACGGGAAAGCTCGGGGAAACTTGTCGCTCCCTCGTAACCCAGGACCAGCCGTCGCCAAGAACAGAAGTCCCCCTGGCGACACCAGTGACAATCAAACTGCGGTTGCCATGCGACGTGAGTGGCCGACCAGGGCAACACCGTCAAACCCGTATAAGGCAATATTAAAGTCGGGGAATCAAAATGGTCAATCAAAACAAACCCGTTCCCCCTTATCTCAAAAGCTCGAGGCGGGTCCTGCCAACACACTTGCTGTGTTCGCCTCAGCGCGCGCCGTACGTCCGCATCGCAATAGACGTTGTCGTTATCTGCGATGGGGAAGGTCGGTAGCGAGATGAGACGGTCGGAGGTACGTGATGAACACGGGCAAGGTCCCGCGTTGCCGGTCATCCGAACCAACACCGAATCCATACAACAGTCGTCGCAACTCCTCTCTCTTTAAGGTGGGTGCGTCGACGGAAGACGACAAAGTCTAAGCTCTCTCCCCTCTCTCCCCTCGCTGGGGCGTCGACCGTCCGTGCGGACGCAAGCAGTTGATGTCACCGGTACAGGGGCGAGAAGCTCCAAAAGCGAAAACTATCAGTTTAAAAAGGAAAGCATTAGAGAGAGAGAGAGGGAGGGAGAGAGGGTGAGTTCCGCCGAGACCGCGCGAGAGCGCAGAAAAGGCCGCGGAGGGGAGGGGAACAACCGGATCAACACACTCATACTCCTAAGCAGACGGTCCCCCAGTTCAGCTTCCCCATCCCCGCCCGGACGAGTACATACACACATACATGCATGCAATCAACAACTCTTGACAKGACATCTAATCATCCATGAACCTTCGAYATCACTCGTGCGYACAACCRGCTCCCATCACTCGGGGCTTCACACACACGWCATGCATGGACAAAGCAGCAATGGAGATAAAAGCGAGTCCTTCTTGTACACAAAAATTTCAATTAGCTGCGGCCCCTAGGCGCAGCCTTCAAAACTTCCCAAGACCACCGACCACCATAGCCACAAGGCCCTGTCGCGGCCGGCGTTCAATCCCCACCACTGCTCTGTCCCTCCGACTGCTTAGCCCCGAGACTACTGAGGGGCCCACCCGACGTCGTCACTCCATCAGTCCTTGGGCTCGTCGAGCCTGTTCGGCGCCGCTGACTCTCGCGCATAGCTCGCGCAGCATTGCAGCCGAGATCAAAGAGAGGGAGATGAGAGGGTTGCGCAAATTTATAGGAGGCGGCAGGTTAACAACGCGAGGTGCGGGCAACGCAGGGTGTAGATGAGCATGACAGGAGAGAGAGGTGGGGAGTTAGAGGTTTCGACCCGCGGGATTGCATGGCTACATGATTGGGGTGTTCGTCCAAGTGGTGCGCGGTTTCCTGCTTTCCACATTGATCCGAGCATCCCAACTACGCAGCCAATCACTTCGC